CAAGTATTGTTTCTGAACAAGCTTTCACTGAAAATTACTGAATAGTGACTATGGGCCAAGCTCTGAAAAATGAAAATAATAACCACCTTTCCTTTTTTTTTTTTACCCAAATTGGGACTTGAACTCACAGCCCTGAGATCAAGAGTCATGCTCTACCTACTGAGCCAGCCAAGTGCCCCCCACCTTTAAAAAAAACAGAAAAGGGTACCTGGGTGGCTCAGTTGGTTAACCAACTGCCTTCAGCTCAGGTCATGATCCTGGAGTCCCAGGATCCAGTCCCCCATCGGACCACCTGCTCAGGGGGGAGTCTGCTTCTCCCTGACCCTCTCCCCTCTCATGCTCTTTCTATCTCAAATAAATAAAAGCTTTAAAAATACATCCATCCATACATACATATATACATACATAAATACAAACCCTCTGTTTATGCTAATTTGGGTAAACCACTTAATCTATGACTTAGTTTCATTAGCAAAGTACTGTATTAGGAATGTTTTTAGGATTTTTAGGTAATGGCAAAATAGTAGTCAATTAGAAAAAGGAGATACTTGGGGCACCTGGGTGGCTCAATGGGTTGGAGCCTCTGCCTTCGGCTCAGGTCATGATCCCAGGGTCCTGGGATCGATCCCCGCATCGGGCTCTCTGCTCAGCGGGGAGCCTGCTTCCTCCTCTCTCTCTGCCTACTTGTGATTTCTGCCAAATAAATAAATAAAAATCTATAAAAAAAAAACCACATAAACTTATTTCATTTAAAAAAAAAAAAAAGAAAGAAAAAGGAGATACTCTTTTTAAGAAATTTAGGACCATGAGAAAAAATGTGTAAATCATGAAAAATAAACTGCTTATGGGATGGGGAGACTGTGGAAAGAGGTACTGGATACCAGAATCATCCAGGGAGATTTTTCCACAATACACTTGTCCACATATATCCTCAATCTGAGTCACAATTTCCAGAGTGAAAATACATGCGCTCATTTAAAATTCCCCGATAGTTATGATACCATCTTCTAACGCTCTCTATTGCCATTTGAGAATAATGAACTAAAGACATTGCTGATATTAATAAAGAAAGATAATTAAAAAGCACAGAATTATCTGGTGCTTGGACAAGACAAATATAATGAACACGACCTACAGGCTGGAGTTGAGACAAGAACAGAATTATTCATGGAATCACTATATGAAAAAGAAACAAAGGAGGAAATATGAGGCATGGGCATTGGGTGATGGGAGGTGTTTTGGTTGTTTCTCTGAAAAATAACTCAGGAAATAAGGTAATTATAACTATACAGAAAAAAGGTCACTGACAAATACATAATTTTTGTGCACATAACACTGGTAATGTTTACTTTGTTTACTTTGCACATACAATCTAAAATAACAGGCAAGACCTATACAAATAACATTTACAAAGACATTTCCATATAGTTATCAAACTTTAAGAAATTTTTTATAATATTTATATTGGGAAGATAATATGAATGGGTTGGGATAATAAGATCACGGGAAGAGAAAACAGGATGAGATGAAAACAAGGCAAGACCTGACTGAAGGAAGCTTAGAAAGGAATGTATGCCCTAGGATCTCTTCAGATTGTCAATCTAAGATCAGTTCAATACTTTTAGGGGTACACAGATGTAGATGAAAGAATAGAGATGGGCCTAAATAGGAATGATGCTAAACTACGTCATCAATGTTTTGGTGTCCAATTAATAAATCTGTTACTAATGTTGCTATGGAATCAATACAATCTCAAAATTCAATTAGGCATTTGCCCATGGGCAGAGTCCCCCAAAAGCCAGAGAAAGATGGTATCAGTAGATAATATATCCATAAAAATGACCAAATTGTATTAAAGAATTTGGTACAGGAATTTACCTGTTAATGCCAGAGTTCAAGAAAAGCAGTTCATTCGCACTACTATTTATCACTTTTTGGCCGATGGTTAGAAATTTATATGTGTTAATATCACATTTAATCAATATAACCATCCTATAACATAGGTAGTTATAATCCATATTTTATAGATGGCAGCATTGAAGCTTACAGAAAAGAAGTGATTTGCCCAAAGTTGCACAGCCATGAATAATACAGTAGAGGCAGAAAGGAAGGCTAGGTCTGATACTAAAGCCTGAGCTAAAGCCTATGCAATATTTTAAATTTAAAATATGAATTATAGGATGTTTAGGGTCTAACACAGCAAAGTGTGTCCAAAGTAAAATTTCAAATATATAACTACACCAAAAAGGTGGAAAACATTTTAGTAACACCACTGATTAGGTCTAGATAAAAGCATGTAGCTAAATAGCTAAGTTATAAACTCATGGTGAGTTAGAGTACATGAGTGAACACAATTCTAAAGTCCATCCAAAAAATGCTATTAAGTTCAAATATGAACAAGGGAATTCAATCAAAGGTAGCAATGACAGTAATACCCAGAAAGTTATTATAGAGCTTTGAACAGGAGACATCAATTTGATTTCTTCATGCTAAAGCAGAAAATACTCCTTAAATGTAGGAAGTAGAAAGTCATCCTATCAAATTTCCAAGAATAATTCTCTCTAATCTATTGGCTGGTGAGGCTGCCAACAACATTACTTTTCTTGGCAGTTCACATAGGTAAGCAAAAACAAGGGACTTAAGTATTTGCCCATACCCAATAAAATATACATATACCCCTGCCTTACATAAAACAGTTACTTTGCCTCCATGAACTTGTAAACAAGGCCATAATTTTTTCTAAAAGATTTATTTATTTATTTGACAGAGAGAGAGAGAGAGAGAGCAGTGAGAGAGGGAACACAAGCAGGGGAAGTGGGAGAGGGAGAAACAGGCTTCCCGCTGGGTAGGGAGCCCAACGTGAGGCCTGATCCCAGGACCCTGGGATCATGACCTGAACCAAAGGCAGACGCTTAATGACTGAGCCACCCAGGTGCCCCAAGGTCATAATTTATAGAACACAATCAGACATTCCTACAGGTAACTCTAAGTATAATGTAAGGAAGTCAAAGAAATTCTAAGATTCTAGATCTCAGGCTTCTAAATTAAGACAATCACAAATAAATTAATTCTTTCTCACTCCCCACCCCTACTCTCAGCTTGCAAACCTGTACAAACACAAAATAAATACTGCTTTAAAAATATGGGATATAAGCATTAAAAAGAGAAGGATGATAAAAAATCTGTAAAGGACGGCTCTTTCCTTTATTTATATAAAGGTAGTAGATGAAGACAAAATATAGATCTAAAAGAAGTAATGGAACAAGATGAGGTACACCCCTAATCACATGAGGTAAAGAATTCAAAGACTATCCTTGAAAATCAGCACTAAAGAGTGCTGATTTTCAAGAGTCATACTAAATGGCATTTAACTACACATTTTTTCAAATATAGGAGGCATCATTTTCACACCTGTGCAGAAAAAGTCATCTATAAACAGTGGGTACTCAATAAATATTATTAACCCAAGCCTATACTAATAGGCTTTCATAATAAAGAACAGAAAAGCTATGGAATATGTATTTTTAAAAGTTTCTTGAAAGCACAGTTAATTCAGAAAATTAACAGAGATTTGGAAACCTAGGAAGGATACTAAGTTAAATATCTTTATTTGAAAAGGAGTCGGGGAGCCTGGCTGGCTCAGTTGGAACAAACATAAGGCTCTTGATCTCTGGGTTGTAAGTTCGAGCCCCACATCAGGTGTGGAGTTAGCTAAATAAATAAAACCAAAAAAGAAAGAAAGAAGAGAGAGAAGGAGGGAGGGAGGGAGAAAAGGAGTTAAAGGACATAAAGCAGATAATTAAACAGGGAAAAGCTGTGTTCTGAAAATACAGACAAAGAGAGATTGAAAGAGAAAAAATGAAGGTATAAAGGAAGAGAAAACAATGCAAAGGAATGCAGGTGATTACACAAGGGGCTAAAGAGACAACTTGGAAAAATATTAATTTGAAAAACTAAAAAGTACAATTATCAAAAGAGCAAAGAATATAATATAAAATTAACACTTAAATCTCAGTACACCATGAAAAATTTTGAAGTGTTTCTAATCAAGGAGACCAAGCAAGAGGATATGTATGGGTCCAGCAGACATGTGTCCCTGGAAACACTCAAAACTAATCATGTTCCTTAGAGTCACATTCCTAAGCAAAATAGAGAGAGGTTCTTAATAATGCTCAGGGTCACAATCATAGAAAACTGTCCTTCAGAACATGTGACTTCTAAGTTTGAGTTTGCTCATTATGCTAAAAATAGGCTTGATGAGAAAGTACAATGACTAAAGGAAAACCCACTGAGTCTCTATGGCTTCTGAAATCTAAATGTGAGACTTCTCTAGTGCCCACAGGAAATGAGTGCAGTAGAAGCTCTAGAAGATTGGGACAGGGGATAGAGGGCCCTTGATGAAGAACTAGCAAGTTTCTGAGTTGGAAGTTGGAAAATACAGGTTATCAAGTGTTCACTTTCTTGAGATTAAAAATACTTAAAAAGCGTAAAAAATAGAGGGACACCTGGCTGGCTCAATTGGTGGAGCATGCAACTCTTTTTTTTTTTTTTTTTAAAGATTTTATTCATTTATTTTACAGAGATCACAAGTAGTCAGAGAGGCAGACAGAGAGAGAGGGGGGAAGCAGGCTCCCTGCTGAGCAGAGAGCCCGATGCGGGGCTCGATCCCAGGACCCCGAGATCATGACCTGAGCCGAAGGCAGAGGCTTAACCACTGAGCCACCCAGGTGCCCCGAGCATGCAACTCTTGATCTTGGGGTTGTGGGTTCAAGCCCCATGTTGGGTGCAGCGCTTACTTAAAAAATTAAAAAATGAAAAACAAGCACACAAAGTAAATCTTTCTCCAGCTAAAAGACATACAAAGAAACGAAGAGGAATGTCCCTCTTTAAAAAAAAAAAAAAAAGCACAGCAAGAAAAAGGAATTCTTTGCATTTGGTTTCGTGTTATTGGAAAGGAGCTGAGTATGTTCCCTGTTACCCTTGAAAACCACCAAACCTACCATGTGGTAATGTTATGTTTGCACCATCAATGATTGCTTGTGCCAGTTCATGATCATTGCTCTCAAAAGCATGTGCAGCAGCCTTCAAGGCATCCCAAATCTCTTTACGGCCTTCAAAAGCTGGTGCGGTGTCCCAAAATTCGTCCCTCTTGCTGCGCAGTTGTCCATCTGTCATGGGATAATCGCTTTTCCATTTGGGTTTCTCCTTTTTCAAAGGCTGGTTACGACCTAAGGCGACTGAGAAGAAAAATAAAAAATTGACATCAAGACCAAAATTTATAAATGATGTATTAAAAGTGATCTGGTCATTCCTCTTTGATTCATTCCTCAAAATTATAGCTAGAAGTCTGCCTCATAATTAATTCTTGCATTTTGAAATTTTCCCTATTTTGGAACTACAAGAGCAAATGGAGACATTAGATGGCTCTATCTAAAAGGTCCAGGGACAACTCTTTTCAACTCCCAATGCCTTCTCCAAAGGATGACTTTAATAATTACTTAGAAAAATAGCATTAAGTATTTCATCAGACAATAATGGCAGGATTTTGAAAAGACAAAGGATGCCATAAAAAAGGTAAGATACTAGGAAAAATCAAGTAACATTAGCTTGAATCTCAGGACTCTGGACATATAAAACCAGAAAGTGGGAACTTTGAAATCCTTAGCAGGGGAAAGACTGCTCTGCAGTGTCCAAAGGAATAGTCAAACCAGCAGCTCCCTGAGGAAACCTGATCACAGGAGCACCCACTTTGGACTTCAGTCAAGGAACTGTAAATGCCTCTTTCTGAAACCTATATAGGAGCTAATTTTGAAAAGGGTGAGACAGAAGGTCAGAAATCAGTGCTTCACTCTTCAGAGAAAATAGGACTGAACAGGTGATCCTTCATACTGGACTATGGGAGAAGTTCTAACCACAAGAAACAGAAGAACTACAACATCCTACTATAGTTTCAAACCTAGAGGAGAAGAAAAAAAGGGGGGCAGGAGTCCACTCCTCATTTGCTGTAAAAGGCAGCAGAGCTCCTTAGGGAATGCTACATAGTGGTAGGGCTAGAACAAGGCTGATGCAGCTTCTTTTACCCAGATACTTACCTGGCCTATCATCACTGATTCCACACCAACGTAGAGAGCCATTCTTAATCTTATACGGTGCCAGAGACAAGAAATAGTTTGATAGATGGAAAAATCAGTAAAAAGAAAAGTGAAGCTTGATGGGAGTCTTGGGTAAGAGTGGGTGGGAAATAAATGACAGAGTGGTGGGAAGGAGAGGGTGTGTGTCAAAATTCAATGTTCTATATTTAACTGCAGAAAGAATACTAATTTAAAAGAAATTACTCTCAAAATGGTTCTAAAGAAGCCATGAAATTAACCACTCCCTTACTGGCCCAGAGCCAAATGAAATTTGGGCTATTCATAATAGAAATAAATACAATTACTCCAGTTCCTGGGCAATCTCTATCCCCTACAGAATGCTATGCTGCCAATGACAGAACAAACTAATGCTGCAAAGTGTATCTGGAGTGACAGTTGGATTCAGCCATGCTCTTTCCACCTAATCTGGCCATTTTATCTCAAAGCAGCACACAGCAGGTCTCATCCTCTACCTTCAGAGTGGCACACTATGCCACTGCCAGCTATTTTTCCCTTCAAACATCCAGTGTTTTGAGTCCCTGCACTTTTTGGCCCTGTAAGTTATCCTAGTGAAATGGCAACCAGCTGAATTCTAAAAGGATACGGATAGCAAAGCAGGAAAACGGTCTATTTAATAGCAGAGCCAGAAAGAGGACCCAAGTATCCTTAATTAACAAATATGTACTGGACATCCACTAAGGGGAACACTACAGATGTGTGTAACAAGTTTAATTCAAATGTGAGAAACTCGATCTATACTAATGACTTTCCCTTGTATTTTCTAAATAATAAATAAATCTACACAGCACATTATTCTCTAAAAGGTGTTCAGAATATGTCAGATAATCACAATCCACCCCCTACTGGTTCTACTAACAAGGCAAAATGAAATGCATATTTATTTTCTGCTATATTAACTTTTAGATAAGTCAGTAATAGCCTAGGGATGACGCTCAATATTAGTTTACTGAACAGGGAGTAGAAGACAGAGCACAATAGGTAAATAACTAGTTGAATAGGTATCTATTTAACATTCAAATGAGTACCTATTACACAAAGTTATCTATTCAATATTCAAATAAGATACCTATTTGAATAAAGTTTCAGGTTTTCCTGAGTAGTTCCAGAGAACTGTCTAACCTCAAATACATTAAATGTACCTGAGAGATACCTGTTGTAATTCTCTAATTGTGAGAAATTCACAAAGCAAAGGCAAAAACAACAAAACCTCTACAATCTCAGTACTTAAACCTAAGAAACCGAAAGAGGCCCTCAGAGGGACCTGACAGAAAAACAATCTCATAACAAAGGTAGAAAATAGGGGCATCTGGGTAGCTTCATGGATTACGTGCCTGACTTTGGCTAAGGTCAAGATCTCAGGGTCCTGAGATCAAGCCCTGAGTAGTTGTTGTAGTTGTAGTCATTGTTGTTGTCTACAACGGTGGGGCTCTGCACTCGGTGAGGAGTCCGCTTCTCCCTCTCCCTCTGTCCCTCCCCCTGCTCCTACTCTCTCTCACTCATATAAATGGATAAAATCTTTAAAAAAATAAAGGTAAGAAAATACTTTGGAAAAAGTAAAAGCCCCTTCCTTACGAATATGAGGTAGCTTTATTTTACCTCTCTCACCTACAAAAGGTATAAGAGCAAAGTCCCATAAAAAGGACAGATGATACATTATGCTTAAGGATAATCATTCCAAATCCATCTCAAATCTATATGCTGAAAAGTTCCAAAGTCACTACTTTATGTAGTAGTAGATAAGACAAAATAAATTTTTGTGACATCAAGCAAGCTTCCTTTTGTGTCTCAGTCTCTACTTTTCTCTTTATCACAAACACACATACCAGAGAAACTCTACTGAACATCCATACTAAAATACTGAAGTGTTTACAACATATTTTAGTGAAACCGCTGAGCAGTGCAGAATTTTCATTACAAAATATGAAATTAAAAGCCTCATTTTAGGGGGTGCCCACGTGGCTCATTCTGAGAATTCTCATTCTGAGAATTTAAAATACAAGTACCTTCCTTAATTTTAAAAAGAACTGTTCTATGATTGTCATGCACATCCTATGCATATGAGTATATTTTCTAGGAATTGGTCACCAAATGTTGTGCTTTGATTTTAGCTGATATCATAAACCTAAATTTCTGAAAATACCTGGACATAGAAATCAGCCTAGCAGCTAAGAAGCTATGTTTTTTTTTTGCACCAAGTCAACCATGCTCAGTTATAAAGAAAAAGACGTAAACTGTGTGTACTCATTAGATTATATCTTATGCTCTGAAACTTTCAGATTTGTCTGTTTCATATATCCTCTGGCCGCTGAAACCAAGAAAGATGCTCAGCACCGTTCTTATGTCTGGGACTAAGCATAGCATTATGCTCTAACAATGGATTTAAAGACAGGAAACAGTTCTTATTCCCCAAATTTCAGTTTTAAATCTTTAAATTGCAGGCAACCAACCACACTAAGTTTTTTTATTCCATGGTTTAACATATAGCAAAAGATTAATAATGAAACCTAATTTTATTATTTCGGAAAATACCCTTCTTTCCCCCACTAATCCAGTTATTTTGCTAAAACATTTACAAAAAACTCACATCTCAGAAAACTCTTACTCACATTAATCTACTGTCATTTACATTTATTTTAACTGTCCTTAAAAATGGTTAGCACTTAATCCCTTTCTGACAAATAAATAGTTTTAACATGCAGAAAACCCAAGAAAAGTTTGCTTTTCAGATTCAAATATGCAACATAATCTTAGACGTTATCTTTTACTCCACAAGTGAATGAATTTGCTTAGAATTCACTTTGACATTCTGATAAAAAAAATGGGGCGCCTGCGTGGCTCAGATGATTGAGCGTCTGCCTTCAGCTCAGGTCATGATCACAGGGTTCGTGTGTTGAGCCCTGTGTTGGGCTCTCTGCTCAGCCAGTAATCTGCTTCTCCCTCTGCCTCTCCCCCTGGCTTATGCTATCTCCCTCTCTCTCTCTGTCAAACAAATAAAATAAAATCTTAAAAACAAACAAAAAACCCCCACTGATCTCGAAAATGAAGTATGTTTATAGTTGTTTTCCTGCTTTTGGTTCCTCTCTTTTGGTTTCCTGCCTTCTGGTTCCCTAATTTAAGACTGGGACTCTTCACGTGACTAAAGGAGAACCCATAATGTATAAGTAAGGTAAATATCAAGATATGACTCACATAATAATAGCTGTAACAGACTGAAAAACCAGAGCATTCCATTTCACTAAGACAACAGCCTAAGGGAACAGAGCTCACCATCGAAGGACCAAACGTGGTTGCACAGAATTCTGAAAATTTGAAAGCAGCAAGGAACAGGATTGGGATAATGTTCCTATATTTAGATTGATTAGAGTATGAAGATCATGAAAATGAAAGGGAAATTTTTGTCACTCCCAAGAGTTATGAATAGATCCCACAGAACTCTTCCACAACAGATGGTGCTGGCCTAAAACTCTATTTGTATTTTATTCTCATGTAAATTCAGAATGCAATATACAAACACATACATACTACATATATTCCCTTTACCTAAAGTAACATACTGCCAAAATAAAAATAGGGATACAGGGATTAAAATGTCTAAACTAAGAGCATCAACATGCTAAAAGTCAAAACCATACCCAGAACTTCTCTAAAATCTGAGAATTTAGATGTGGAAGAGATCTTAGATGGTACCAGCCAACCTTACTATTTAACAGGAAGGTAAGGAAGGCCTAACATGGATAAATGACTTGCTCAAGATTAGAAAGAGCCAGGACTATAACCCAGATGACTAGATTAAAAGTCCAGAGCTCTTTTTCCATTATAGCACTCCATGTATTATTGGGGCTGAGAAATGCGTTTTCTTTTACATATCAAATCAATTACAAGCTTCATTCAAAATAAAGCATGTGTTGTTTTTCTAGTAGCACTCATTCATCTTTCACAGGCTTTGTTAGGACTAACGAAATGTCTCTGATGGGACAAAGGAAAAGCTAATTGAGCAGCACCAGATCCTCAACCTATCTAATCTACCACCTAATTCATTTCTTCAGAGATACCATGCTCACTAAAGAGGAATCCTTTTTTTTTTT